TCACCAGAAGGAGATGTAGATGCTGACGGTGGTGAAGGACTGTGAGGGCCAACCGAAGAAAAAAAACACCCTAAATCATAGTAAATAACCTGAGCAATCACTAACAAATAAGAAAAGAAGGATTAAGAAGCATACCAACTCGTTGCCAGTAAAGGAGAGTCGTCGGAAGGGTAATTCTTCGTTGAGAGATCGACATAGAAACAAAACTTAGATGCGCTGCAAATGAAGTTGATTGACTGAGATCTATCAGGTTTAAACCCTAAGCCGACAACATGTCGTCGGTATAGGGTTAGGAAAATATACGTCGTTTCGATTTTTCCCAGTTTGATTTTTCAAGCGGATTGCCAATTCTTATGCCGACGATAATAGATACCCACAGAACGCTGTCATTATTTTGTTTCAACACAAAGGAAAATAAATAAATCCAAGTTATAAAATCCGTGACCTATACTGACGACATATCATAGACATAAGTTTTCAGTAGACCGCCAAAACGTTTTTTGTTCCCGCCTAATCTATGACGACTATAAATCGTTGGAATAGAGTACAGGTCAAAGATAGTTGGTCAAAGTTTTCATAAACCTATACCGACGACATGTTGTCGGTATAGCTAATTTTTTACCAACGATCTTTGCTGTCGGTATAGATGTCGTTGTTAAAGGAGATTTTTTCTGTAGCGAGACAGAGGTGGAGGTGCAATGGGTATTCAAAGGTGCCATGGATGAAGGGTCAGAACTCGAACCTAGGGATTGATTTCAGGTTGCATCCACCTGAAAGTCATAGTTTTGTCGGAAAATTCAATTTGACTAGCTAAAACTTCAATATCCAGTAATGACTATATTTTTTAAACAAATTAACAAGTTTACTGGTAAATAAAGCATCAAAAAAATTAAATGACTCAATATATAGAATGATATAATTGGTTGTGGTCTCAAATCATTATCTCCAAATCATCATCCCCTAAAGATATTAGGAAGCTTAAAGGTACAGGGGCATTGACATTGGCTAATTGACCTGCCAATACTTTAATTTCTTGACAGTAAGCACTCACGTTTGGAAAGGATGCTAGTTTTGTATTTTTCAGTTTGGTTTGAAGGAAAAGAGCCCTGGAGTTAGCATTGTCCTGAAATATATTGGCTAGGGCTGTCCATGCTTGAGCGGTTATGGAACTTTGAGTATGGTGTGAAGTAAGTCAGTAGAAATTGTACCATAAATCCATTGGAGAACTATAGCATCTACTCTTGACCAAGAAGCATCGGGTGTAGAAGTGGTTGTTTTGTCTTTGGCAGCATCTGTTCCAGAGGTTGGCTTTTCTGGAGTTGGCGCCTCGTTTGGAAGGATGTGATCGATTGCTTGAAACGCCCGACAATGAATTTTGAATAGTTCTGCCCATGACGCGTATTGAGCATTTTCCATCTCTAGAATGATTGGAATAAAATTCTTGATGTTGGTGACTGTTGCAGCAAGGTGTAACTTCTCCATGGTAGAGATATGAAGGATAGAGAGATGAATAGAGACAAAGAAGGACTGCCGACTGGAGGAAGAAGGTTCTTGCGGCGTTTAGGGTTTGGAGGGAGGTGGTGAGCGGGAAATCAGAACCGCTATGATACCATAATAGATTACGCTCCAAGATTGCCCATCCTTCTCATTGTACATAATTATATATAGATACAAGGGTTTGTCTATTTACACTTTAGCACCTCATAGAATCTAAATAATACTATTCCTCTTCTAGTCTAATATTATACCATTACTAAGATCGATAGGAGAGATTACCTATATTATCAAGATTCTCCTACCATATTCAAACCATCACCATATTAACAAAATATATGTTCAAATAGAGAGATTATATATATATATATATATATATATATATATATATATATATATATATATATATATATATATTATCTACTAAATAAATCAAATTTAGTTTCTACTATTATCCACTACACAAACCACAATTATGATCACTAAAATATCCAAAAACATCATATTAAATATTATAATTCAGAAAAAAAAAGAATAAAATCAAAGTTTCACACTTAAATATACAGTTATGAAACAGATGAAATATTCTTATGAATCAAAAATGTTAAAAGAAAACACTATCATACATTCTTTTAAGGCTTACGTTCAATTGTCCATTTGGAAGTATACCCCTAAAAAATACATAAATCATTCTCGTTTCATCTAAACACACATTCCGGTTTAGCAATTAAGACTTCATACATCACAGTGAGCATAAACATAAGTCAATTATATAAGATATCCCAAAAACATCCCAAGAAAGAAAATGAAAAAATGAAATCGAAACTTTACCTCAAAATCAACTGTGATATGAGTGGTGGTGAAGGGCCGACGATGTACACCGGAATAAGGTCACCGGAAGGAGATGTAGATGTCGACGGTGTTGAAGGACTGTTAAGGCCAACCGGAGAAAAAAACACCCAAAATCGTAGTAAATATCTTGAGAATCACTAACAAATAAGACAAGAAGGATCAATAAGAATACCAAATCGTTGCTGATAAAGGAGAGTTGTCGGAAGGGTAATTCTTCATTGAGAGATTGATAGAGAAACAAAACTCAGATGCGCTACAAATGAAGTCGATTGACTGAGATCTGTTAGGTTTAATCCCTAAGCCGACGTCAGTATAGGGTTAGGGAAAGCTATGTCGTTTCGATTTTTCCAGTTTTGATTTTTCACGCGGATCGCCAAGTCTTATGCCGACGACAATAGATACCCACAAAACACTGTTGTTATTTTGTTTCAGCACAAAGGAAAATAAATAAATCAAAATTATAAAATAAGTGACCTATGTCGACAGCATATCGTTGGCATAAGTTTTTAGTAGACCGCCAAAAAGTTTTTCGTTCCTGCCTAATCTATGGTGACAATAATCCTTCAGAATAGAGTCTAGGTTAAAGATAGTTGGTCAAAGTTTTCATAGACCTGTACCGACGACATGTTGTTGATATAGCAAATTTTTTTACCGACGACCTTTGTCGTCAGTATAGATGTCGTTGGTAAATAATACTTTTCTTCTAGTGAGATAGAGGTGGAGGTGTAATGAGTATTCGAAGGTGCCATGGATGAAGGGCCAAAACTCGAACCTAGGTTCGATTCCCGGTTGCATCCGCTGAAAAATTCATAGTTTCGTCGGAAAATTCATTTTGACAAGGTAAAACTTCAATATCCAGTAATAATGGTATTTTTTAAACAAAATAACAAGTTTAATGGTAAACATAGCACCAACAAAAAAAAATAAGTGACTAAATATGTAGAAATGATATAGTTGGTAACCGTCTCAAATCATTATCCCTAACGATATTAAGAAGCTTAAAGGCACGGGGCTACGATGCCGACGCTATGTATCGCTTCGCAACTCGAGGCTTAGGTGTTGTTTGTTTTTTGGAAAAAAACCTCTTCAGAACTCTTATTGCTGCGCGATGCAGCACACACACAACACTTTTCATCTCGTACTGTTTGTTTTTTAGAAATCTTCAGAGTCAAAAACCTCTGCGCGTGCTCTGTTTGGCGCAACACTTGTACTGCCTCTTCCAACCTCTTTTTTTTTTTTTTTTCTTGCTGAAATTTTATTATATGTTGTTGAAATTTTATTTCACTTTTTATTTTGTTTTTTTTTTGTTTATTCTTGTTTAATTTTTTTTTTGTTTTTTATATTGAATAATGATAGATTCTTGATGAAATATCATTATTTTTTACTAAATATCTTTATTTTTTTTTTGAAATATCACTATTTTTTATTGAAATATCATTAATTATTGCCGAAATGTTATACATTATTAAATTTTCCGTATTAAAAAAAATATTTTTGATTTATAAAATTAGTTTATTTTAATTTTTTAATATCAGCAGTAGTATGCATATGTTAAAAAGCAAACACGTTTTTTATTACAATCTACAGCCGTTTGGTTCACATATTCTACCGAAGAGGTGATCCGCAAACTTCATTAATTTTTGCTTCAAAAAATCAAACATCTCCTTAAAAACTAGACAAATACAAAAGGAAAAAAAAAACAAGTGATGATATAAGAAAACACGTCCCAAATGAATATCATCCATTGATCACTAGGAAAAAATTTGGTAATCGCCTTTGTATTAAAAATATGGTAGTTAGGGTTGTTTAATGGTAGTTTGGTCGGTTATTCATGATTGTCAATCATTTATTATTTTTCAAATCGTCTTGTTATCTTTAATCCCGGTGAACGACTTTACCTTGTAGGTGTGTCAATTGGTTTCGCCTTGTCATGGGCTCGTCAAGATGACGAGCGTTGGCACCATATTGATAAATGATAGAAATTCCGTATTTACTTTTAAATTAAAGGAAAATATACTACAATTTTGAATTATCAAAAATTAAAAATAACAAATTAATTTCTATTAATTGAACTTGGAAAAAAACTATAATCAAAAAAATAAAAATAAAAACTAGTAACGAAATGTTTATTCCTATCACTTTCATTGTAATTTTTCTGATTCAGCATTTTGTTAAATTGAAATGATATATAGTTGACCAATATTAAAAATTAAGCATCATTTGTACATGTGGTGCCTTAAATATTTATTTGACGTACTTCCGATCCAATTGATGACGGTGTATAATTAAAAAATTGCTTTCAAATCGGTGAAAAATATTAAAACCTCTAAACAAGGGTTATATATCGTACATTTCTAAAAGCAAAAGGTGGTAGACTGATATTCCTAAGGTGCATTTCTTAGATGTTTCCTTTTAAATAATTGCCCCTACTTTGACAATTCGTCATTGCTTACCCCCTTAAACTTCTAATTTTGGGTCAAAACAAACCCCGTGTAGAAAACGCGGTTACTCCGTCAATGAATATCTCTCTATATAGATGTTCCTCTCGTCTATTCACAGCTTAGTACTTCTTTATCACTTTCTCTAAACTTTCTCTCTTTAGAATATATATATACACAAAGCGTGCACAATACAAAGATTTTTTTTTGTATTTTATGGAAAAATTGCAACAATACAGACATGTATTTAGACAACTGGACAAGAATGGAGATGGGAAGCTATCACCACCGGAGCTCCAAATTTGCATTGGAAAGGTAGGCGGAGAGTTGACGTTAGAGGAGGCGGAGATGGCAGCGGCAATGATGGATTCCGACGGAGATGGGTTGTTGAGCATGGAGGATTTGATTAAAGTGGTTGAAGATGCAAACGAAGAGGAAAAGGCTAATGACTTGAAGATGGCTTTCAAGATGTATGAAGAAATGGAGGGGTGTGGATGCATAACTCCAAAAAGCTTGAAAAGGATGCTTAGCAAATTGGGAGAGTCGAGAACTGTTGATGATTGCAAGGTGATGATTTCTAAGTTTGATGTTAATGGTGATGGTGTTCTAACTTTTGATGAATTTAGGGAGATGATGTTGTGATGAAGAAGTTAATACCCATGAGTTGATTTATTGCACGTGTATATTGTTGTTATTCCTTTGTGGAACATTCTTTTGTATCGAAACAGTTTCTGGTGTTGTCTGCTTTGTTGTTTATACAGATTGACGCAGACTTCGATCAGTCGATAGTGTTATTTTTTTTTTATTGATTCTAATAATTATTAATAGTTTTTGCATGTAAATCTTCTGTATAAATTTATCTATTGACGAATTTTTTCATTGCTTAAGCCTTGTAAATACAACCACCAGCTTCAAATTCCACAAAGAAGTGTTTCTGTACGATTATGTGTGTGTAAAATTCAATTTAGATTGGTGAAACAGTCAAATCAAATTAGCGCGGGAGCATCTAATTTAAACTAATGATGTTGGGTTTCATTGTTTCTAGAATTTTTTTGCATCCGACAATTTGTTTGCTTCTTGATTTTAAAAATTTCTTAGTGTAAAACTTGTTGAAGTTGATAAAAAAGACAAAAGTTCCAAGAACATTTTAAAAGAATGTGTACAAAGAAAATTCCTTTACATAATAAACACACAAATATCGTTCAACTCCCCCTTACTGTTACAATAAAATTGAAATATTTATACACATGAAAAGGTACAATCATTCATAACAATTGCACCCGTCACGAACCATCACAGCCCTTCAACTTTGGTGGTTATTTTCTAACAATAACTATAGAAATTGGTTAACAACCTAATAATTAACTTTATCTTCTAGAATTAACTTACTTTTTGGTAAGTAACTAGGAACCGTCTTTCAAAACTACCAAACTAAACTTAAGTTTAGATCAATTATTATCTAGAAGACTTTAGTTTGTTCTAGAATGTTCTAAAGATTCTAGAACATTATGGAAGACTATGAAAAACTCTGGAATATATCGAAAGAGTTTAGAATACTCTTGAACGACATGGAAGACCCTAGAAGGTTATAGATCATTCTAGAAGAAACCGGAGCAACCTATACCTCTCCAGAACATAGTAGAACATTCTAGAAACACATGGAAGCTTATAAAGTATGTTAGATAGTTCTAGAGTTATATAGTAAGTAGTAAGTGTATTCTAGTATTTAGAAGCTTCTTAAGAGGCCTATAAATAGGTGTGGAACTCATTTGCTCCAAACCATCCAAGAAAAGCCTCAAAGAAAGCAAAGTGTGCAGTAGTTTCTCAAAGTGTAAGTTCTTTTTAAGTGTCTTAATAAAAGTATTGTTGTTTCCCACACAAAGAGTCATGTTCAACAATCTGGTATCAGAGTAAGGTTTCTTGGTAGTGAGAACGAGTGATTCTCGTTGTATCGTTAGTAGTCTGTGACTCTACAAGTTTGGTGTCGAAACTAGCTTGTTTGGTATTACCGATGTACTGCCAACACGATGGGTGATCTCCAAGTTGTCGGAGGAATCAAGAAACTCAACAACAACAACTAAAAAATGTGGGAAACATGTATGAAGTCCTACTTATAAGAACAAAATCTATGGGAGGTCGTTGGCTGAAGCAAAACTATGCCACTAGAGGAAGATGTTAATGGTGTTTTGTGCAAATGGAAAATCAAAGTAGGTATAACAATGTTTGCCTTGAAGACCACAATCAAAGAAGAGACATAGGAGCATATTTGGGACGAGAACATACCGAAAGAAGCTTAGGACACGTATGTGACGCTTTTCTCAAAGAAGAATGATACGAGACTAAAACTTTTGGAGAATAAGGTATTATCAATCTCACAACGTGATATGATGATTGCTAAATATTTCCACAAGATCAAGTCCATATGTCAGGAGATTACTGAACTAGATCCGCAATCCGTCATTGCAGAAGCTCGAATAAAGAGGATCATCATCCATGGAATGAGGCCGCAATATAGAAGCTTCGTTATTGTTGTACAAGGATGGCCGGTCCAACCATCAATTGTAGAGTTTGAGAATTTGTTGGCTAGCCAAGAAGCTATGGCTAAGAAAATAGGAGGCATCACACTAAAGAGTGAAGAGGAAGCACTCTACACAAGTAAAATTTGGAGGAATTTCAAGCCACCTTCTAAAGAAGGATATAAAAATACTAAAAAAAAGGGAACAGTCAGCAAGGAACCTCACAATCATGGAAATCTCAAAAGAGCGACAATAAGAGTTCTCGGGGAGGAGGTTTGAAGGCAACTGCAACAATTGTGGAAAGTGGGACCATATGTCCAAGGATTCTTGGTCAAAGCAAAAGTATGTGGAAAGCAATGTCGTAACTTCCAAATAGGAAATAGAGGATGAATAGGATGCTGAGGTATTATATGCCATAAAAGAAAACGAGTTAGCACTCATGGAAATGATGCGAGAGCGTATCAACTATGAGAATGACTGGATCATTGATTTAGGATGCTCCAGTTACATGACTGGTTATCAGAACAAACTATAAGATGTGAAGGAGTACAAAGCTAGTCACATGGTACTTACAGCTAACAATGCACAACTTCCAATTGCTCAAATAGGCAAAACAACTATGATGCCTAGTAATATAGCTGACATGATGTCACTGCATAATGTCGATCACGTGCCAGGTATGAAGAAGAAAATTTTTTCGATATCACAACTAACATTATCAGGCAACTACATCTTGTTTGGCCCATAAGATGTGAAGGTCTATCGAGATCTTAAAATATTAGAAAAGCCAACAATGGAAGGACGGAGAGTGGATTCCATCTATTTGCTCTCCACAGAGTCTACCTATGTAGACAAGACTCAAAAGAACGAGACAACAGATCTATGGCATGCACGTATAGTAAAGATCATCAACTTGAAGGCTTACCTCAACTTGAAGTCAAAATGGATGTCGTTTATGCTAGATGCCAGTATGGTAAAGATCATCAATTACCATACAATGAGTCAAATTTTAGAGCAAAGAAACCATTAGAGTTAATTCACTTGTATGTGTTCGGTCCAGTCAAGCAGACATCAGTTAGCAGGATGTGGTACATTTGATGTTCATTGATGATTATTCGAGATATGTGTGGGTTTTCTTCATGAAAGAAAAATATCAAACATTCTCAAAGTTTCTGGAATTCATGATAACGGTCGAAGGAGAAGTGAGAAAGAAGATTCAGTGTCTATGCTTAGACAATGGAGGAGAATACACCTTGGGAGAATTCAATCACTATGTGGTGTACATCATCAATTCACATGTGCCAACACACATCAACAAAATGGATTAGCTGAGAGGAAGAATCGACATCTTGTAGAAATTTGTCGAAGAATGTACACACGAAGAATGTCCCAGGAAGATTTTGGGGTGAAGCAAAGCGAACTTCAGCCCATGTGATCAATAAACTCTCCCGACCAAGGTTAGGTTTCATCTCACCATTTAAGACACTATGGAACATGAAACCTACTGTTGTCTACTTCTGAGTATTTGGTTGCGAATGCTACATATTTGTGCCTAGTCATTTACATAGCAAATTTTACAAGAAAGCAGTTAGGTGTATATTTATTAGATATGACAATCAAAGAAAAGGGTGGAGATGTTGTCATCCAACAAGTGGAAGATGCTACACTTCAAGAAATATAGTGTTTAATGAAGCATCTTTATGGTGGTCCTCAGAGAAGAATGTATTATTAGACTCGGAAAATATTGAATAAATTTTAAAACAAAAGATAGGGGAACAAACTGCACATATTTGGTCAAGTGCTGTTAAACCTAAAGAGCCGAGCAACATTGATGTCATTGAGCAAGAAGTAACTCAAACAAGTGATACCGATGAACGGGAGATGTCACATCTACAGCTTAGAAGTATGGAAAGAATCTGAAAGCATAATCCCAAGTTATCACACCCCGAACCAGACGGTGGAAACATCCGAGGGCTCACGAGACTAAATTTGAATATCATCACAATGAATATACATGAATCATAACATAAGCATCACCATGCATCAATATATTACAACTAACTTTGTTCACATCAAGTACATTGTTTTGATATTACAAATCAATAACATTTAGAGTTTAATAGTTTTCAAAAGCACAACACTCTAACATAACTTGGTACTACTCCTCAGCTTACCTGTTACCTGAGAATACAAGTTATTTTGAAAACGGTCAACATATGGAATGTTGGTGAGTTCATAAGCAGGTTTGATATGAAATTTTTTTGTGTAGTTTGTAAGAAAACAACCTAGAAAATCCGATATTTTTTGAAAAGACCATTGTTTGTATAAAAGTGTGAAGATCCATAAATATATGCATGATGATTTGAAAACGTGTATAGTTGAAAAACATCGTATTAAAAGTACCAGTGGAAAATGTTGAACTTCCCCAGAAAACCCGATGTATTTCGAAAATAAACAAAATATCGTATATCTGTTCGTATTGTTATCCTATCCCTTAAATGATTTTGATTTATCTTGATTACTTGATTAGTATTGGATTTATTTATGTGAGTCGTTATAACCATGCATGATAATGACTAGTTCGTCTGTCTTGGCACTCTGGTGAACGCCAGAATTGATCTTAAGATTTTGTCACCTTAGACTGGCCGAGCCTAACTGTAGCGAACAACTGAGGTGTTCGACAGTCACCCCCGTATAGATCTATACACAAACTCTCGGTCTCGCTCCAGGAGACTTTGATTATAACTACAGACTACGACCGACACACATTGGTGCCACCCGTTATTACTCACTAAATCCCAATTGACTTTGATTACTATTGATTATCGACCCATATTTGTTTACTTGGTTGACGATAGGCCTAATAAACGAGGAGAAGAGGATTACAAGATCCTACTATTCCCGTGTATTATTTATGGCTTTTGATTATACGAAGGACACGCTGGTCCATTTCGCATTTGATTTACTTGGACCTTACTAGCAATGCTAATGGGCCACTAAGGCCCAATATCACTTAAAAGCCATTGAGGGTCCCTTATATATGAAATTGGGTCATAGAAGGCCTAATAACATTTATAATTATCCTTTGGGCCCAAAAATCATGTTTATGGGTCACAAAGGCCCAAT